ATCAAATTGGCCAAAATGACAAAGAAAAATTATTAAAAGCAGCAAGGGAAAAATGACAACATACAAGGGAACTCCCAAAGGGTTAACAGCTGATTTCTCAGCAGACACTCTACAAGCCAGAAGGGAGTGGCATGATATACTCAAAGTGATGAAAGGGAAGAGCCTACAAACAAGATTACTCTACCCAGCAAGGATCTCATTCGGATTCCATGGAGAAATCAAAAGCTTTACAGACAAGCAAAAGCTAAGAGAATTCAGCACAACCAAACCAGCTCTACAACAAATGCTAAAGGAACTTCTCTAAGCAGGAAACACAAGAGAAGAAAAGGACCTACAAAAACAAACCAAAAACAATTAAGACAATGGTCATAGGAACATACATATCGATAATTACCTTAAATGTGAATAGATTAAATGCTCCAACCAAAAGACACAGACTCGCTGAATGGATACAAAAACAAGACCCATATATATGCTGTCTACAAGAGACCCACTTCAGACCTAGGGACATATTCAGACTGAAAGTGAGGGGATGGAAAAAGCTATTCCATGCAAATGGAAATCAAAAGAAAGATGGAGTAGCAATACTCATATCAGATAAAATAGACTTTAAAAAAAAGAATGTTACAAGAGACAAGGAAGAAAACTACCTAATGATCAGGGGATCAATCCAAGAACAAGATATAACAATTTTAAATATATATGCACCCAACATAGGAGCAACTCAATACATAAGGCAACTGCTAACAGCTATAAAAGAGGAAATAGACAGTAACACAATAATAGTGGGGGACTTAAACACCTCACTTACAACCCATGGACAGATCATCCAAAATGAAAATAAATAAGGAAACAGAAGCTTTAAATGACACAATAGACCAGATAGATTTAATTGATATTTATAGGATATTCCATCCAAAAACAGTAGATTACACTTTCTTCTCAAGTGCACATGGAACATTCTCCAGGATAGATCACATCCTGGTTCACAAATCAAGCCTCAGTAAATTTAAGAAAACTGAAATCATATCAAGCATCTTTTCTGACCACAACGCTATGAGATTAGAAATCAATTACAGGGGAAAAAAATGGGAAAAAACCAAACACATGAAGGCTAAACAAAATGTTACTAAATAACCAAGAGATCACTGAAGAAATCAAAAAGGAAATCAAAAAATACCTAGAGACAAATGACAATGAAAACACGATGATCCAAAACCTATGGGATGCAGCAAAAGCAGTGCTAAGAGGGAAGGTTATAGCTATACAAGCCTACCTCAAGAAACAAGAAAAACCTCAAATAAACAATCTAACCTTACAACTGAAGGAACTAGAGAAGAAGAACAAACAAAACCAAAACTTAGCAGAAGGAAAGAAATCATAAAGATCAGAGCAGCAATAAATGAAACACAAACAAAGAAAACAATACTAAAGATCAATAAAACTAAAAGCTGGTTCTTTGAGAAGATAAACAAACTTGATAAACCGTTAGCCAGACTCATCAAGAAAAAGAGGGAGGGCTTCCCTGGTGGCGCAGTGGTTGAGAGTCCGCCTGCCAATGCAGGGGACATGGGTTTGTGCCCTGGTCTGGGAAGATCCCACATGCCGCGGAGCGGCTAGGCCCGTGAGCCATGGCCGCTGAGCCTGTGCTCCGCAACAGGAGAGGCCACGACAGTGAGAGGCCCGCGTACTGCAAAAAAAAAGAAAAAGAAAAAGAGGCGGAGGACTCAAATCAATAAATTTAGAAATGAAAAAGTAGGAGTTACAACAGACACAGCAGAAATACAAAGCACCCTAAGAGACTACTACAAGCAACGCTATGCCAATAAAATGGACAACCTGGAGGAAATGGACAAATTCTTAGAAAGGTATAACCTTCCAAGACTGAATGAGGAAGAAATAGAAAATATGAACAGACCAATCAAAAGCACTGAAATTGAAACTGTGATTAAAAATCTTCCAACAAACAGAAGTCCAGGACCAGATGGCTTCACAGGTGAATTCTATCAAACATTTAGAGAACAGCTAACACCCATCCTTCTCAAAGTCTTCCCAAAAATTGCAGAGGAAGGAACACTCCCAAACTCATTCTATGAGGCCACCATCACCTTGATACCAAAACCAGACAAAGATACTACAAAAAAACAAAAATTACAGACCAATATCACTAATGAAAATAGATTCAAAAATCCTCAACAAAATACTAGCAAACACACTCCAACAACACATTAAAATGATCATACACCATGATCAAGTGGGATTTATCCAAGAGATGCAAGGATTCTTCAATATACGCAAATCAATCAATGTGATACACCATACTAACAAACTGAAGAGTAAAAACCATATGATCATTTTCAACAGATGCAGAAAAAGCTTTTGACAAAATTCAACACCCATTTATAATAAAAACTCTCCAGAAAGTGGGCATAGAGGGAAACCACATCATCATAATAAAGGACATACATGACAAACTCACAGTAAACAGCATTCTCAATGGTGAAACACTGAAAGCATTTCCTCTAAGATCAGGAACAAGACAAGGATGTCCACTCTCACCACTATTATTCAACATAGTTTTGGAAGTCCTGGCCACAGCAATCAGAGAAGAAAAAGAAATAAAAGGAATACAAATTGGAAAAGAAGAAGTAAAGCTGTCACTGTTTGCAGATGACATGATACTATACATAGAGAATCCTAAAGATGCCACAAGAAAACTACTAGAGCTGATCAATGAATTTGGTAAAGTTGCAGTATACAAAATTAATGCACAGAAATCTCTTGCATTCCTATACACTAATGATGAAAAATCTGAAAGAGAAATTAAGGAAACACTCCCATTTACCAATGCAACAAAAAGAATAAAATACCTAGGAATAAACCTACCTAGGGAGACAAAAGACCTGTATGCAGAAAACTATAAGACACTGATGAAAGAAATTAAAGATGATACCAAGAGATGCAGAGATATACCATGTTCTTGGATTGGAAGAATCAATATTGTGAAAATGACTATACTACCCAAAGAAATCTACAGATTCAATGCAATTCCTATCAAATTACCAATGGCATTTTTTACAGAACTAGAACAAAAAACCTCAAATTTTGTATGGAGACACAGAAGGCCCCCAATTGCCAAAGCAGTCTGTCTTGAGGGTAGAAAACGGAGCAGGAGGAACCAGACTCCCTGACTTCAGACTATACTATAAAGCTACAGTAATCAAGACAATATGGTACTGGCACAAAAACAGAAACACAGATCAATGGAACAAGATAGAAAGCCCTGAGGTAAACCCAAGCACCTACGGTCAACTAATCTATGACAAAGGATGTAAGGATATACAATGGAGAAAAGACAGTCTCTTCAATAAGTGGTGCTGGGAAAACTGGACAGCTACATGTAAAAGAATGAAATTAGGGATTCCCTGGTGGCACAGTGGTTTAGAGTCTGCCTGCTGATGCAGGGGACGCGGGTTCGTGCCCTGGTCCAGGAAGGTCCCACATGCCGCGGAGCGGCCGGGCCCGTGAGCCATGGCCGCTGAGCCTGCGCGTCCGCAGTCTGTGCTCTGCGGCGGGAGAGGCCACAACAGTGAGAGGCCCGCATATTGCAGAAAAAAAAAAAATCCATCAAGCCGTATCCTTAATATGTGTGCCGTTTACTCTATATGTTACATATATTTGTGTGTGTATGTGTGTGAGACCTCAATTTTTAAAAAGGTTACAGAATTTTTTAAAAGGTTACAGAACCATCAGAGATAGGAGGAGAATAAGGGGACTCCAGGGTCACAGAAGTCAAAAGGAGAACAGGGTTTCCAGAAAGGTAAGGTATGATCAACCACATGAGTACTACAGAAAGAAAAATCAAAAAGAAAAACAACCAAGAAGTAGTCACCTTATTTAGAAAAGTGGAGGTTATGACTGGGGGACAGCAACAGGAAAAGTCAGGTTACTGAGGGTTTACTAGATAAAAGAAGGAAGAGATGACCTTCAAAAGGGAATGGGAAAAGAAAGATGGCATGTAGTTTAGGGGAAAGAAGGTCTAAAGGAAAGTTGGGTCTTTTTGGAGATGTATAGTAAGAGAGGGATATGAGAGAAAAAACTTGAATATGTTGAGCCAGTGAGTTAAAAATAATTTAAAATAAAAAAGAAATGAAATGGCTAATGGGCTAGGCACAAGGATCTAACTACAGCCCACAGGCCAAATCCAGCCTACTGCCTATTTTATAAATAAATATTTAGTGTAACACAGTGACCCCCCCATTTGCATATTATTGTCTAAGGCTGTTTTTGCCCTAAAACAGTAGGACTGAATAGTTGCAATAGAAACCATCTGACCTCATACAGAAAAGTTTACTGACCCCAGAATGAGGGTACTCTAAGAGCTAAAAGGAGAATTAATAGACATAGAGAGGTTAACTCTCTACAAGAGTAGAAAATGTGAGATTTTGTCAACAAATAGTGGTCAAGAGAGGGAGGGATATAAAAAAATTAGTCCTATTCTATGCCAGGGAATGAGCAGTGCACTGAGTGTCTATATATAAATTAGAAATGGCTTCAGGCCCCCAGAAAATAAGTCAACTATAATAATGTTAACAACTACTACTGATGCTTCTACTACTACAGCAATGACTAATATTAATATCATACTGCTTACTGAACATTTCCATCTGGATATTCTCAATGTCACCACAAACTCAAAACCAAACTCATAATCTTGGAATCTTCTTCTCCTTAGCCCCTAGCAATTCCATGCTCAAGTCCTGCTTTGTTTATCCCCGATTATTTTTGGAACCCATCTACTTGTTTCTGTCCCCTTCACCTCCACATCTAGTCCTAGCCACCATCACTCTTTCACTTGAACCACTACACTAGGTTCCTAATAGAACTACTCATATTTATATGCTTAGTCACCTCCAATCCATTTCCTACAATGCAGATTCCAAAATACAAATCTGATCACAATCTTGTCATGTTACTCTCGCACTTCCCTTACCCCTCACCCGTCATTCTAGCTGGCTTAAACCCCTTTGACAGCTTTTCAGTGCTCATCTGATAAAATCCAAAAGCCCACTCATGGCCCAAAAAGACCTTTCCAAAAAAGACCTGTGATACTAGTCAATTCAGCTAAGCTAACAATATTTCCTAGATATCCCTTCTTTACATAGTTTCAGGTTAGAGTTAGCCACAAGAAGAAATCTGCATGTAATTTTGAAGGCAGAAGTAAAGAAGTAGCCTTTATGCTCCAAAGGTCAGTATAGGGGCGCCATGCACTGTTGTGCATGTTGACACTAATCTGCTGGCTCCCCCTGTTGGTACAGAGCAGCATCTGAGCCTGCAGCTGCTCCAGATCCTGCCAGATCTTCTTCAGCTTCTCCAAATCCTGGCACATCAAGCCTTTCTGGACCAGGCACACGTGCAGCTCCATGGCAAAGAACAGCACCTCTTCCTGGAGGTCACCCACATTGTCAAGACTAAAGAAGGCAAGAGTCACATATAGGTTCCAGTTTGTTCTTATGGGTTCCAATCTGTTCTAGTAGATTGTAGTTCATATTAGTTCTTTCCGACTTTCAGCCCTGCTGACCCAGCACCAGATGCAAAATTATAAGCCCTCTGTAGACTGCTTTTCATCTTTATAATAAATATTTTATTCCATATATCACTCTTAGTGGTTCTGCTTCGCTGATGGAACCCTGAACAGATGCAAGTGCTCATTAGCCTGCCTATCTTTCCAGCCTCTGAGCCACCTTCCCTTTCACTCTCTGTGCGGTAACCACCCACTGCATGTTCCCACTACATAGGCTTTATACATGATACTCTTTCTGACTGAAATCCACCTCCATCCGTCCCTGGCCTTTGTCTAGTTAGAGCCCACCTTTCCTGACATTACTCTCAGAGCATCGGGTACTTTTCCTTCGTAGCACTTATAGTAATAATTATACATTTATTTTTAATCAATTCCATCTCTGTCACTGGCCTATAAACTTGCAAAGAAATGCGACTATGCTTGGTTCTGCTCACAGGTGTTTTCCAAGCACCTAGAAAAGCACCTGGGACATGACAGGCGCTCAATAATGAGTGAATAAATGAATGAATATTTGCTCTGTACCAAGCACTATGTAAAATGCTTTATGTAGATTATCTCATGTAATACTTACAAACACGTTATGAGTCTGGAACTATTATCATTCGCATTTTACAGATGAATAGATGAAGTTACATTGCTGTAAGTGGTAAGACTGGTACCTTACCACTTATGCACAAAGAACAGCTTTACTCCAGCATTCACACTATCAATACCTTTGCCCTTCACAACACTATAAGGCCAATTTAATAAGATTTTTCTTTTTCATTTGACAAATGAATAAGCTGAGAGTTAAGAAGTTAGTTGACTTGCCTAAGGCCATGCTAGGTACCAGCTAAGGCTAGAGCCCAGGTCCAACACCAAGTTCATTGCTTTTTTAAAAAGAAACCTTAATCCCGCTACCTCTCTGCAGCCAGGCACAAAATTCTTCCCTATACTGTATCCACATTCAGATTCACCAAATCTCTCCTTCTATGACTAACCTCCACAGTAAACTCTCTATGAGCACGATCTTCTTTTCAGAAATTAATAAAGTTAATGGGAAGACATAGCACAGCACTTTAAACAACACAGTTGTATGCTAATGTCATACAATGCCATGGCTTAGTTTCCGTTAGCATCATTTTTAACACATCGTAAGACCTTTAATCAAAGGGAATATAGAATGGGGGGAAATGTATATCATAGCATATTTATATGGAAAAGTTTTTAAAAAGGATGAAGTTAATTTTTCATAAGGAAAAGGAAGTAAGGAAGAATGAAGAAATAAGAGTAAGGGAGGGCTTCCCTGGTGGCACAGTGGTTAAGAATCTGCCTGTCAATACAGGGGACACAGGTTTGAGCCCTGGTCCGGGAAGATCCCACATGCAGCGGAGCATCTAAGCCCATGCGCCACAACTACTGAGCCTGCACTCTAGAGCCCGCAAGCCACAACTACTGAGCCCGCGTGCTGCAACTACTGAAGCCTACACACCTAGAGCCCATGCTCCGCAACAAGAGAAGACACTGCAATGAGAAGCCTGCGCACCGCAACGAAGAGCAGCCCCTGCTCGCCACAACTAGAGAAAGCCTGAGCAGCAACGAAGACCCAATGCAGCCAAAAATTAAAAAATAGAAAAAAAAAGAGTAAGGGAGGAAAGCCAAGGGAAGAGGGTGGAAAGGATGGGTTGAGAGTTAAATTTTTCTTCCTGACAAAATTAAGCCATTTTTTTCAGTCACATAGGAGTGTATGATTTCATTTGCCTCTACAAAATATGCTTAGTCATTAATTCTAAGTAAATCACACAGCCTCTGACAACGGCTGTCCTGTGTGACACATTCTAGATTTCAACTGTCAATCACAAGAGACTCTAACAGTTCCACAGTGTCAAAGGTAATAATTTGAGAATGAGGACAGCAGAATGAGAGCACGTGGCAGATAATCATACTGACAACACATGTCACTCTTCATAAGACTCAACTCAATGGTTTAGATACTTCTCACAAATTCTAGAGTCCAATCCAAGTGGATTATTCCTAGCTTAGGTTTTATCATATTGGAATGCTCTGGAAACAAATAATCCTTCATTCAAATCCTACATTCAGAAAATGTTCTTCCTTTCTCTACTAATACCTCACCTCAAAACTGTTCTACTGCTATCAAATGAATTTAATTTTGTGCCTACAAAGGCTAACAAAGTAAAGGATTAAGCCCTTCTTTAGGCTTAAAATTCTTCAGTTTTCTTGATATCCTCAATAGCAAAGCTTTTTAAATTAAATCATCTGTAAAACCTTAAAAAGCTAATTTTCCTTCCTGAAATCTGACACTTCAATTTTAAATACCTAATTTCAGCTTTGAATACATGATGCCTGTTGGTATATCAAGCATTTCATTTTCAGGTGCACTGACAGGCAGAAATACCAACTTTTATTCTCAGTCACAAAGCATAAAGTTCTTCAACTTCTTTTGCAAATATCTGACTCTACCATGATACACTTTTGCATTACACATTTTTGTAAGTCATTGTCAACAAACAATAACTAACATATAGTAAATGCTTACTAAGTACCAGATACTATTCTAAGAACTTTACATCTATTAACTCATTTAAATTTAAGAGCATATGTACCCTACAAATGCTTTAATACTTGAATAGGTTGAAAGAAAATGCACAAAGAAAAAGGTAAGACAAAAATGCACTCTATCTAAACAAAGTTGATGTAGCAACTTACAAATCCATTTCCTGGACACAAAAAAATGTTTGTTTTGTTATTTGAACATTATTAAGTATAAGGAACACATACATCCATGAAAAATGAATGCTTTCTCAGTCACCATTATGGAAGCTGTTATTGAAAACTAAGAAGCAAACTAAAGATTATGACAAGAACTAGTAAATTCTTATTTAAATGCAAAGGCAACTAATAAATTATATATTTGAAATAAATCATTCAGATATTCTTTTTGAAGCAATTATATTACAGAAAAATCATACTGAAAAATAATTATAATAAATAAATAAGCTTCCTAAGGCCAAAATCAAAACAAACAACAATAGGAAAAAGCATACCAGAAGACTACTAAGTATATCGACTTAATACAATGGAAAATATAGACCTTGTTAATAAGCACACAAAAAATATTCCAGTCATCATGACATTAAGCATAACAGATTTTGATGTCAAGTGGCAAAAGCATTTGTAGGTTAATACTCACTTTTTTGTACTTTCTAGAAAATATACACCAGACACAATCCACTATATAATATCAATATATTTCTACTGAAATTAGAATACTCATGTTTGAGATATTTATCTGAATCAAACTGATCTGCTATACCTGCCCTGTAAGTCACTGTGTAAGGTTTAAACTTGAATCTAAAATATTTTTTAAGGTATTCAATCTATATTCTTGAGGCTGTTCAGTGAAAGACAATTCTATAGTTCATTGAAATAACTGCATGGGTAACTCAGCTTCTGATGATAAAAGCAGCCATTTTCCTCTCCAGTAAGCAGTGTTCTCCCTTTTTTTCTGTCATATGCTATTCTATTGTTTGACAGAACAAAAACAAAACATAGTGCTTTCTACAGGATATGAAAAGCGCTTATTTAGCACAGTGCCTAAAACATAGTAAGCACCACAAAAGGGTTAGCTATACATTATTGTTGATGTTGTTAATCAAGGAAACCAGACATGTATCAAATGCCTACCATATTCCACACATTGCGCTTATAGGCTTCACAATCAGGCATTTCAACATACACTGCACCAGAGGAGGTTTAAAAAAATACTTATGCCTATACAATACTTAGGAATAAGCTTAACTAAGGATGTGAAACTTGTACACTAAAAACTATAGAACAGTGACAAAAGATATCCTAAAAGGGCCAAGTAAATGGAAAGACACCCCACGTTCATGAATTAGAAGACAATACTGTTAAAATAGCCACACTTCCCAAAATGACTTACAGATTCAATGCAATCCCTACCAAAATCCCAATGACATTTCTTACAGAAATAGAGAAAACAATCTTAAAATTCATATGGAACTACAAAGGACATCAAAAAGCCAAAACTATTTTGAGAAAGAACAAAGCTGAAGGTAACACACTTCCTAATTTCAAAATATATTACAAACTTATAGTAATTATAATAGCATGATACTGGCATAAGGCTAGACACATAGATCAGTGGAGCAAAAGAGAGTCCAGAAATAAACCCACGTAAATATGGTCAACTTATCTTTGACAGGGATTCCAAGCATAAACAATAGGGAAAGGATAGTCCCTTCAACAAACGGTGTTGGGAATACTGTACGTCCACATGCAACAGGATGAAATTGGACCCTACCTTAACACTATATGCAAAAAATCAAAATGGATTAAACACTTAAGTGTAAGACCTGAAACTGTAGACTCCTAGAAGAAAACAAGGGAAATGCTTCAT